ATTGTTGAGACACAACACCAGCCAGTAACGTTTCTGAACAGCCAACGCATCAGAGATGGTGTGGTGACAAACTCACGCGTTGCAACATGGCTTATGGCACTTCAAAGTTTTAACCTAGACATCCGCTACGGTCAAAATAAGAAGTCGCACTTGGGCACTGATTTGGCAATCTGCCAAGAATGTACACAGGATGTACCAGCCACCCAACAGCCGGTTGTGAGCAAACCCTCAGCTGCTGAGGACCCAAATCACCACTTCTTTGATAGCAATATCTGCAAAGATATGGCAACAATGTACGTGGATGGATGCTCATTCCACCACGAGACAATCTGCAAAGCAGGTGTTGGAGGAGTTCTCCTCCAGGACCAAGAACAGGTCACATTTGGCTATAAATTAGGCTCTCAGTCTTCTCAGTACGCTGAGATAGCTGCAATCCTAATAGGCCTACAGATGGCAGTAGAACGCTCCATCCAGACGCTAGTCATCTGCACTGACTCTAACTATGCTCGACTTAGTTTCTTGTGTCATCTCGCTCTGTGGAAACAGAACGGTTTTCTCACAAGCAACAAAAAGGTGGTAAAACACAAAGAGCTTTTCATGACATGTGATCACTTGGTGACATCACATGATCTACAGATCTTCTGGAAGAAAGTTCCAGGACACTCCAGAGTCCCAGGCGATGACAAGTACTACAATGACCTTGCAGACTCCCTAGCCAAGGAAGGAGCCGTTGACGGACCCACGTGGTCCTTTGACCCCTCCTGGCTACTCAACACTCAGTCGTCACAAGCTACAACTGAGGTAATGGCAGTCACACGTGCACAAGCTGCAGCTAAACCTGCTGATAACACAGTTTCTGTACGCCCGATGCTGACTGACCCAGACATCATCCAACTTCAGAAGTTGGATCCTGCAATTAACTCGATGATGCTGTATCTGACTGACCCAGACAAATACACTCCATCGAAAGATGAGCTGGATTCCAATCCAGACCTCAAAGTCCTCTTTCAGCTGCGCAAACAGCTAAAACTACTTAAAGGCATCCTAACTTTTGCTCATGGACGGACGTCCTCACCTGTGTTCGTGGTCCCCCATGACCACAGGGGGGTGATGTTAGTTCATGCACATGACCTTCCGTCCGTAGGACATAAGGGTGACAATGCCACGCTGAAAGCATTAAAGCAGATTGCTTATTGGCCTGGAATGAAAAAGGATGTCAAAGACTACATAAAAGGGTGCCTGGTCTGTGGCCAGTTTCAGCCATCCAGACCACTCCACAGAGCACCACTGCATAGTAGAGGCATTGCATTTCCATGGTCGGACCTCCAGATTGACTGGGTCGGACCACTCACTAAGACCTCTAGAGGAAATAAATATTTTCTCACGGTAACCTGCGCGTTTACCAAACGGGTAGAATGTCTACCAGCCCCTAATGACACAGCACAAATCACTGCTATGTTATTAATGAATCATGTATTCTCAAGGTTTGGACTTCCCCTCAGGGTGAACTCGGACCAAGGTACACACTTCACAGGTGAAGTAATGAAGGAACTGTGGAAGACGCTATGCGTCAAAGCCAACTTCCATATTGGCTACCACCCACAGGCTTCAGGCCAGGTTGAGAGAGCAAACAGGACTGTGGTGAGTATTCTGAAAAAATACGTAGCCGCAAACCACAAGGACTGGGACGTGAAACTCCCTCTGGTCCTCATGGCCATAAGGGCCACTCCACACACGTCGACTGGCATCTCTCCTTTCGAGATGATGACGGGTCGACAAATGACTCTCCCTCTACACCTGTTGTACCAACCAGGCGATGCTGCCATGGCAACAGCCTACACCACACAACAATACATGAAAGACTTGGAAAAACACCTTAAGAACACTTTTGCTTTCGCACAGAAAAACCTGGAAAAATCAGCTGAAGGATGCAAAGCGTACTACGACCAAAAGGCCTCTCACGAGGAACTCCAAGTGGGAGACAGGGTTTGGTACTACACGTTTGCCCCCACAACTGGGAGAAGAGAGTCCGGGACCGGAACTCTCGCCCGTAAACTGATGCCCAGATGGACTGGACCCCATCTGATAACAGACAAACTGTCCCCAGTTGTCTATCAGATAAAAATCAGCAAAGGCCAAAAAGAGCCGACTGTTAAATGGGTACATCGTAACCAGGTTAAACCACACAAGGTGTGTGCAAAGAAACAAACAAACAAACGGGACAGCGTGACTGAATCTGACAACCAGGGTGAGGTGAAGCAGTGAAACGATGTTTTAGTTGCTTAGTCACTACTCTTGTCGGTGTTGAAACGTTGTTGAAGTGGTTTTGGTTGTTTCTGAGGTAAGAATGAATTTTGTTGTGTAGTTAAGTTAGAGACTAAGAGGCCTTTAACCATGCCAACATGTAGTTCATTCGTTAAATTGCAATCTTTGCGGAATCAATGTATATTATTGCTACCTTAAGTACCATAATCTACATTGGTCTCACAACGCTTAAGCCGAACCTACTCGAACAATTCTATTCGGGGGGATAGCTAATTCTTTTTGATGAGTCTCGCCATAGACTTCCAAAACATTTATGGGGAAACCAAACACCCAATCTCAAGTCGTTTGTCTAAAAGACAACAGACAATTGAACCAAACTATATTTTGCCATGTAAAGCTAACTTAAACCAAGTTAGAAATGGAAAAATAGTTTGGACCCCTTTTCTATAGGTATAAACCCCTGTAGTTACCCTTTTCAGCATGTTCCACCCCTTAACTGGTAGTTGTAGCTGTTCCCAACCATAATAGCTAACACACCAGGTGCATATAGTTTAAGGCCTTATGTAAAATCCCCTCCATAAGCCCACCTTAAACCACGTAATTGCATGTCACATTGAACCAGAACGGCACAGACTGGACGTCGCCCAGAGACGACCTTCGCTGGAGGCGACCTGCAATCCTGACGTTGGTCTCCACTCTTCAATCCAGTGGCCGCATCTTCGGTTCAATCCAAGGGAACCCCTCTGTATGCTGATCAATCAACACTTCCAATCGTTGTGGATTTACCGTTGTGGATTATATGACTTTTTCCAATGGATTACAGACTCTGTTTCCAAGGGGTTAAAGCATTGCTACAATGGAATTACCAACA